GTGTGGTGCACTCTTTGTGAAAGCCTGAGCTGGGGAGACTCCTTGGAGGTAAGCGATGGTGATCGGATGCACACCTTTGAAATCCAAGATTCTGAACTTCAGGGTTACAGATTTCTCGGCAAGCACACCCAGGGATCTCCTTTAATTGGAATACCTAAAGAATGTCCGGGAATGCCAAGGCCAGCATACCCCCTACTTCTCAGACCAGGAGGGGGTGCTGGGGGCGGGGCAGGATCCTAATGGTTGGTTCCCCAAAGAGATCCTAGGAGGCCCTGCCAAGTGGCTAGTTCTTAGACTATTCCATGGTGGGCACTCTCTCAGGGAAGCTGGCAGGTGAAGTCTGGCAGCAGAGTGGACAAAGGGACAAGCAATAAAGAGTGGCATCGTTGGCTGATAGGGAGCAGGGGAGAAGGGCGAGGAAGCAGAGGGAGGGAGACCAAAGAATAACAGGGAGAATTCACTAGTACAATGAGGGGATCGATCCAGGGTTTCTCAACTGAAATGATGGGCTCAACAGCAGGGCGTCCTGGTTTTCCAGTCAGAGGCTGGCCTTCTAAGGAAGCACAGATTCACTCTTGGAAAACCCTGGCCCCTTGGGAAAACCGTATCCTACACTGAAAGCGTACAGGCCGTAAGCAGGAGGACCAGGCATTTGGCAGAATACAAAGCACGTTTGTATGAAATAGCACAGAATATGTGCAGGAAAATGCCCTCCTTCTGAACAATAGAACATACACGTGCCCCTAAAGGACAGTCAGAGGGAGCTGACATGAGGAGTGGGGTGGGGAGTGGCTAGACGCTGGCAGGCCCAGGTTCCAATCCTGTCTCATTACTCGCTGGTTCATGGATCTCTTGGAGCCCAAGTGTTCTCATGTATAAAGTGTGGACAAAGACAGTATATACACTGCACATCTGTTCAGTGCCTGGCCCATAGGGCCCCTGATAAATGACAGGGGACTTTATTACTGTAAGAGAAGAAAACCAGTGCTGTCTCCTTAGAGGATTTAAGGACTCCCACAGCCCATCCCCCACTGCGGGCTGTTCAGAGAAAGTCTGAGATGCCACAATGACCCGGGACAGGGTCTCTTCCCTGCCTCCCTGCTCCTCGGTACAGCTGTGAGCTCGCTCCTGCCAGCATTATAAAGCAGGTGGCAGGTGAGTTCTCTGTTAGAGGCAGAGCCCCTAGGCCTCTCCCCTTCTGATCTCTAGCAAGAACAATTTTCCTCTCTCCTGCCTATTGTAACCTTTCCATCTGTAATGTTTGACATCCAAACTATTATTATTGTGTAGAAGGGAATTTGGGGGTGCTGACCACTCACAGTTGAGGTATGTTAACAATTACTATTCAGGACACTTTGTTATCTCTGCTGAGGGTTAGAGATCCGACCAAAGCACTGGCTGTCGCCACAGATGACAGCGCTCAGGGCCCTCCTGAGAGCCACCTCCCCAAAGACTCTCCTTCCAGCGCCATCAAAGGGGCTTGGGCAGAGCCGAAGGAGCAGGATTTGGGAAAAACTCCCATGATGATATGCACCTTTGAAACTCAGGATTCTGAATGTCACGTGGCAGGTATGGTCTATTTCTACCCTGGAGTGTGTTTACTGGACCTATCCTGACACCCGCTGTCACCACACACACACACACACACACACACACACACACACACACACACACAGATTTCATTGTCTTTGAAGCAAAAAAAAAAAAATTAGAAATAGGACTTCCTATTTGCTGGGCAGGATATTACTACCAGTAGGAGCTGCAAGCTAGCAGAAAGAGGCTGGAACTAGCCAGGGGTTCTGAGCCTTATTCTCACGTGGCAGACACACGAGAGGCTCAGAACGGAGCCAGCGTGATGACGGGGAAGCGCTGTCCTCTTGGCTGGCCTGGATCCGCGGTTTTCACACATGCTCTGTGGAGTCCTGGGGTTTCAGGGAGTGACCCTGTGCGGGGAGGAGGCAGGTGTGCAGGGGTTGCAAACTCAAGTGCCCCAGAGATTGGCAGGTACTCAAGTGAGAGCACAGAGAGGGCCCACTGGACATCAATGCCAAGTTGCCCATGCTGCCATGGAGCAGTGTAGCCATCTGCTTATACTGACTTTTAGTTTTTTCATTAATGGCCTATTTTTCAGAGATGTTTTAGATTTATAGAAAATCAAGCAGATAGTACAGAGAATTTCCATATAACTCCTCTGTCTCCCCTTATTGCTTCCCCTACTATTAAATCTTGCATTGGTGTGTTATATTTGTTATTACTGATGAACCAACACTAGTACATTATTATTATTATTATTATTATTATTATTATTATTATTATTATTTTATTTTTTTAAACTTTATTGGGGAACAGTGAGTTTTTCCAGGACCCATCAGCTCCAAGTCAAGTTGTTGTCCTTCCATCTTAGTTGTGGAGGGCGCAGCTCAGCTCCAAGTCCAGTCACTGTTTTCAATTTAGTTGCGGGGGGCACAGTCCACCATCCCATGTGGGAGCCAAACTGGCAACCTTGTTGTTCAGAGCACGCCCTATAACCAACTGAGCTACCTGGCCGCCCCAATACATTATTATTAAGTGAAATCCATAGCTACCATGGGGGCTCGCTCTTTCTGTTGTGCGTTCTATGGGTTTGACAAAAGCATAATACCATATATCCACCGCTACAGGATCCTACAGCATAGTTTCACTGACTTAAACATCCTCCGTCTTTCTCCTGTTCATTCTTTCCACCCTCTCCTCTAGCCCTGACAACCACTGATCTTTTTACTGTCTCCATAGTTTTGCCTTTTCCAGAATGACACAGTTGGACTCATACAGTATGTAGCCTTTTCAGACTGGCTTCTCTCACTTAATACTATGCATTTAAGGCTCCTCCCTGTCTTTTCATGCTTAATAGCTCATTTCTTTTTAGTGTTGAATAAACTGGATGGACTACAGTTTATCCATTCACCTTTTGAAGGGCATCTCGGTTGCTTCCAGTTTTGGCAATTATAAATAAAACTGTTATAAGCATCCATGTGCAGGGCTTTGTGTGGATTTAAGTTTTCAGCCCCTTTGGGTAAATACCAAAGAGTGTGATTGCTGGATGGTATGTTCCGTTTTGTACAAAACTGCCAAACTTTTCTCCAAAGTGGCTGTACCATGTTGCATTACCACCAGCAATGAATGAGTTTCTGTTGCTCCACATCCTTACTGGCATTTGATGTGTCATTTTTTTTTTTAATTTTAGCCATTTTAGTGGGTGTGTAGTGTTATGTCATTGTTGTTTTAATTTGCAATTCCCTAATGATATATGATATTGAGCATCTTATCGTACACTTATCTGCCCACTGTATGTCTTCTTTGGTGAGGTGGCTGTTCAGATCTTTTGCCCATTTGAAAATTATCGTTGAATTTTAAGAGCTCTTTGTATATTTTGGATGCAAGTCCTGCATTGGATATAGTTTGCAAATATTTTCTTCCAATTTGTGGCTTGCCTCTTCATTCTCTTAACAGTGCCTTTCACAGAGCAGCATTCGTTTTAATAAAGTCCAACTTATCAATTTTTCCTTTATGGATTTACACTGCCTTTTAAAACACCAGGATAGCCAAACCGAACATACCTTGCCAGTCATTGACCTTGGGCTTAGGGGCTCACACAGGAGATGTTTCCTAAAAGTTGAATAGAAGCTGCTATTTGGGGGGTATGGAGAAGTCCAGGGTTTTCTTTTAGAGAATATTTTCAGATTACAGAAACATTGCAAAGATAGTAAAAATACTTCCTGTGTATCCCATACCTAGTTTCCTTCATTATACAACCTTATATTAATATGGTACATTTGTCACAACTAATGAACATTGGTTCATACATTATTATTAACTAAAGTCCATACTTCATTCACATTTTCTCAGTCTGCACCTAATGTACCTATTCTGATCTAGGATTCCATCCAGGTCAGCACATTACGCTTTGTCATAGTATCTCCTTAGCTTCCTCTTGTTTGTGAGTTTTGCAGACTCTTCCTGGTTTTGACGACCTTGACAGTACTAATCAGGTATTTTGTAGCATATCCCTCAGCTGGGACTTGTCTGATGTTTTCCTCATGATTTGACTGAGGTTATGGGTTTTTGAGAAGAAGATTGCAATGGTACAGCAGCATTCTCATCACACCATATCAAGGAGACTGTCTGACATGACCGCCCCCACCCCCCAACGCCAAATCCCCCTTTTAAAAGCTTTGTTTCATTTTTCCAACGAGAGAGCTCAGCTCCTATTCAAACTTGGTCCAAGGATCACTCCTTGGTGTCAGAGGCTGAGGCCCCCCTCCTGCTGCCCTGGCCTCTGTCATGACAGCACTGCCTGTCTGGGGGATGGGGGATGGCCCAGGCAAAGGTCATGGGCTCTAGCACCTGAGTTGTGTGGTTGGAAAGGGATAATAACGTGGATGGCATTTGAAGGAACCTGCCTCAAAAGGTGCTGTGTGAGGAAATAGTCTCTGCTGGATCATGCCACCACTCAGGGAAATTGGCTCTGGGCTGTCCTCTGTGGCAGCCGTCCTCGTGGGGGGCTGCTCACATCTCTCCTGAATCTGTGCTAGTGCAGGGTCCTTTCCCAGGGCTCCCGTGTGCACTGGCGGGCCGACTGCCCTCTGCAACCACCAGCAACCCTCTCGCCCCCCTTCCCCCTCCCTATTTCATGCTACTCTCCCCTCCCACCCACTGCCAACTCCTTCCTGCTTAGGGCTCAGGACCAGGGCTGGTTAAACCTCTTGTCTCTTGTTGCCATGGCAGTCAGTTTACTGGCTGTCAGAGTAAAGGGAAGGACTGAAGGACGCATGCGCACACAAGCCAAGCCCGAAAGACAGTGGCCTGAGTATCTACTTTAAACTAATTTAACAGTAGAAGTAATTGATCGTCTTGGATCATGCAGCCTATAGAGAGACACTGAAAGCAGTGAGAAAGGGCTGAGGGCAGGTAGGAAGCCTTTTCTGGGCACCCTAACCCTGTCAGCAGAGTTCTTTCCTTACCTTTTGTTAGAGAGAAGCGGAGGCCTTTCGTGCTGGGATTCAGGCATCTGGGGAAAGGGCTTCATGTGGCTGAGTGACTTCACTGCTGGAGAGTTTACCTGCTGGCACAAGGAGGAGTTAGTTTCACAGCGTTACCTTGAATCTTATGACATGGGAACATGTGCTTGATGTAGTATTTCTTAAGGAGAAAAAAACTAGCTATAAGACCTGGTATGTATATACAACATACTCGTTGTATGTGGGCAAAAATAAACCTAGACATAGTAATGACCATAGTGATGGGCATCAAAGTATTGTCTTTGGATAGCAGAATTACAGGTAATGTGTGATTTATTCTTTGTGTTTTTCTGGGCTAAGCTTTCAAAACTGAGCATGTATTGCTTGTTGTAGTTAGCGAAAAAAAAAAAAGACAATTCTCCAAAAGCCCTAATTAGTTTTGTTCCCCCATGTGCCAAAGTGATGCTACCAGAGCTGGAAGAGCTGTACTGAGCACTTCGTGTAGGAAGCAGCTCTGCCATGGTGTCCCGGACCCCGCATGTGTCCACACAGGGCTCATGGATAAGGCTTCCCCTGCAGCTTATCTGAAGCTGGTAGAGTGCCCCACGAATCTCCCAGAACATGAGAGCATGGAGGCTTAGGAGTAGCTGCTACAAGGCTATTTCCCACCTGCTCCCCTGTCTCCCCAGGATGCTGTCGTAGGACAGCTTCTCATTGACCCCCACTTCTGATGAGGTTTAAGGATTTCTCGCCCCACACAGGGTCCATCCACAAGCTATAAAACCATTCAGCACCAGCATAGAACTGGCTCCCCAGCAACAGGGTGCCCCGTCATCCCTTTTGCAGTCATCGGATCCCTTTTGTTTCAGTGACATCCTGTGAGACAGAGGACACAGCGAGCTGACACCTTCGGCTGCTCTGGCTTTCACTGTCTGTGTAAGTCATACACTGTCTAACTCTGTCATCCTTGCCGGACACTTCCCAAGTCACATGAGATGTCCCTTATCTACTGTTCAGGGACTGAACACCCTGGGGTACTAGCAGTGGCTGACACCTCGCTCGCTGATGGCCTCACCAGCAAGGGCTCTTCACCGGAGAACAGACAGAACCCAGGGGTGCTGTGAACGTGGATGGGAACCGATCACACCTTGATTTTTCCTAACTTCTACCTGGAGTGTAACATTTCTTCCAATGATAAGTGTAGATAAAACCCACAGTCGTGTTAGCAGTGCCAGTGACTTCACCACCAGTAGAAACCACAGATATTTTCATACCACGTTACAGATGCAGAAATCCTGAAATATTGTGTTCATCATTACTCTGAAATTCTGGTAACTATTGGGCCCGCCCCTAGATCTTAATGAATACATCTGTAAAGTGCTATACATACCATTATACCATAACTTTATTGTAAAAATATTTTGAGGCCTGCATTTCAGTCTTATTGGTTTTCTTTGTCATCTTGTGTATTTTATTTTATCCAACTATTCTTCTCTATTGTTTGGTCACACGGCTACTTGGTGACATATTGGTTACTGCTGGCTGACTGTCCTGGAGCAAAGATCTTTGGTTCTCAATTTCCTTGTCATTAAAATGAAGGGATCAGCCTGTCAGGTCATCTCTAAGGACTCTGTCAGCCATACAAGTGTTACGAGCATGTGTATTTCATCATTTTTATTGTACCACAGCTGAGGAGTCAAATGAGGACAATGAGAACCGGGAGTTTGTACTCACATTTCTTAACAGATTATCTTAGTCTTCATTATATCATAGAGAACTTTTAGGAATTTGTCTAGAAAATATGCAAAGGTTTATCTATAAATGTGTTTCCAGTGAAATACTAGAAACAACCTAAACATTAAATAATAGATTAAATGGATTAAGATAAATCCCTAGGATGGAATAGTGACAGCCGTTAGAATGATGGTGAAGAAATAATAACATGAAAGAGTAGTCATGCTATACAATTCAGTAAAAACGAAGCCATTTGTGATACTTGAAGGCCAACATGATTCTATTTTTATAAGACCATACAAATGTATATGCATAGAAAAAAGATGAACTAATATAATCCTACACGATAATACTGGTTATCCTTAAGTGGTGGGATTATGGTGATTTTTACTCCATTGTGTTTTTCTGTATTTTCTAAAATTTCTATAATATGTATATATGTGTATGTAAGACTATAATATGAAAAAACAATCAACGTTGTCAATATGACATCACAGGAGAACATCACACAAAGCAACAGTGGCAGATCCATTGGTTTCAGGAGCTGCACCTTCCATCCCTCAGCTTTCTATGTGACAGGCACCAGAGAAGGAAACAATGAACGCTGACCATTTGCATTCCTTGTCAGTAAAATGAGCCCTTGCGTCATGAGCTGGGGGATAAGAGCAGCTAGGCCTGTGGGTTGAAGCCCCCACTTTTCTTCCTCTGTCAGCTCCATGGGGGCTGTGAGCCTACCCCGCCCTCACCCCCTATCCCCTAGCTGCCCTGATGTACCCCAGGCCACAAGCAAAGGATGGGTCCTAGGGTAGCAAGGGGCATGGCCAGCCATCCCTACCTGCAGGCTGGTGGCCTTCTCTGCCCACCAGGCTTCAAACTCTTTCTGCAGCTTCACCTTGGCTTTGTCCATGAGCAGCTGCAAGTGTTCGATCTCCACCTTCAGGGCCTTCAGGCGCGTAAACGTTGTTTTATACCTACAGTGGAATCGAGGCAGAGTCTTGAAGGTTGGGAGGGAGGGCTGTAGGTGGACTGTCAGCTGCAGGGCCTGTGCCTCAGAAGCCTGACAGCGCTGGTTGGTAATGGGAACTGGGTCCCTGTAGTTGCCCACTGAGGCCAGAGTGTGGTGCCAGGGTTTCAGTCCATCACAGAGAAGCAGAGCCAGGTGATTTTGCCCAGGAGGCCTATGGCCTGCATGTGTGAGATGCACAGCTCCTCTCCAAGAATGATAACTACAGTCATTGAGCACTTACTAAGGGACAGGCATTGTTCTAGGCACTGGACACAAATATGCTCATTTAATCTTTTTCACAGCCTTATGAAGAAGATACTGCTATTATCTTCTCCACTTTACATATCTGGCACCTCAGGCATGGAGAGGTTAAGTAACTTGCTCTATGGCACAGAGCTAATAAACAGAGGAGCCAGGATGGGAACTCAGGCCACGTGGTTCTAGAACCACAGTCTTAACTGCCTCACCATTCCGCTGGTTCACGTTCATGCAGAGGACCAAAAGTGACAACACATCTGTTAGTGCACATGTGGGTTTGGGGCATGCTATCAGAAGTTGTGCTGCAGGAAGCAGCTGAATAGCCAAACTGCAGAGACAACGTGACTTCTGAGATGACCCTGAAGTTTGGAAATACGGATCAAGGGGACAAGATGGGGTGGAGAAAAGACACAGAAGAGTGAATTGGGAAGGAACCGAGAAAACTAAATAGAGCAGCGGTTCTCAACCTGTGGGTCGTGACCCCTTTAGGGGTCGAACAACCCTTTCACAGGGGTCGCCGGGTACTCGTATGTGGGCGTATCTGCATGTGGGTCTGGAAACGGATAGAGGAGCGGTGTCTCGGTTCCTAAGACCATCGAAAATATGTGTTTTCCGATGGTCTTAGGCGGCCCTTGTGAAAGGTTGAGAACCGCTGAAATAGAGTGAGGGAGAGAGCACAACAGGGGAGCGACTCCAGGGGGTGGAGAGCAACACCCCATGTCCAGGAGGGCAGCACAAGGCGTTCTGGAAGGAGGATGCCGGCAGGAGAAAACACAGCGCAGTTATCAGGAGTGACCTGGAGGCCAGCTTTTTCTTGTCAAGTCTTGGATGGCAGGAGTGTGTGTGTGTGTGTGTGTGTGTGTTGTGGGGGGGGCGAGCAGGGTGAGTGGGTTTGCTCAGGGTGCAAGCCCAGCCAGCCCAGGGGTGCTGTGTGTTGCAGTGACACCATCAGTACTTTGAGGGCAAGGAAGTCACTTGTTTGGTCTCCCCAAAATCTCTCCATGGCATGGAGGAGAGAGCAAACATTTGTTGAATGCATATATGAGTGAATGAACTTAAGAAACTTGACTGGAGTGTTAAGCGAGATTCTGTGACCATGCTGTGTATCAGTAATGGCCACATGTCTGTTTATGCTTGCGGTTCCTCACTCTGTAATTGAAATCATTTGGAGACCCTAAATGTCTGCATGAGGGTATGTTGTTCTCAGGACACTTGACAGATAAAGAGAGAGGAGGGAGATGGGTCAAGCTGCAGGTGGGAGGAAGACCTCTGTGGTCATACTGCTCACCTCCCCTAGATGGCAGCAGTAGACAAGACTAGTCGCTTCCTGAGCCTCAGCCTGGGACGTTGGCCTGGGGAGGGGGCCAACAGCAACAGCCCTCCCTGATTCGCAAGTCCGGGCTCCCCCTTCTGACCTCACACTGCCTAGGGTTCCTGCATCATATCTGCCTGCTCAGCAGCAGCACCTCCCCCAGCTGGTTTAGGACTCAGCTGCTGGACCCAGTTCCCAGAGAAGTTCCAGGCCTGGGTTGGGGTGTGGCCACTCTGCCTGTCCTGGGCAGCTCCAGGCCGTGTCCGAGAGCCCCCCTGACGCCGGGGGCAGGGTGGGCAAGGAGAAAAGGAAGGGCACCTTCTCTTTTCTTCCTCCAGTTGTGATCGCAGAGTCTCTTCCAGCAGGTCTGGCACCGAGGGCTCGGCCATGTTTTCTGAGACACCTGGAGAAGGGAGATGCTGGTGGTTTACTCCAACGAGGAAGAAAGGCAAAGGGAGACGTGTGATCTTTAGGGCAGATGACAGAGTCGAAGTGTATCCCAAGAGGAAAGGAAACCCTGTGAGTTCCTCTGGGGCCTTTGGATGGGACGCTGCTCCAGCCCCCTCCTCTGGATGGCAACCTCGGCTTGGCTGGGAGCCCCTGAGGAGGCCTCGGTGATTCTGCTTAGTCGGCTGTCCCTGCCCACTGCCCAACATCTGTCACTGGAAGAGAATTCTTCCTTACATTGCTACTTATCCTTTTACTATTGACTTCACTCATTTCCTCTGGAGTCCCCAGGGAAGACGCAAAATAGCATTTCCCCATCCTCTGATACAGAGCCCTATGTAAACTAAGAAGACATCACTGAATCATTTCACATTTTTCTTGGCAACAGCCGAGGTGCCGAGTTCTCTAGCCTTAAATCACGTCTCCTGTCTTTTGACTTCCTAAAGCAGTGGGTCCCAAGCCTGATTAACCCAGGCCAGGGGTCGGCAGGCTGCAGCTCGCAAGCCACAGGCGGCTCTTTGGGTACGTTCTGTCTCAAACCTTTGCTGACCCCTGGAAGAATCAATCCTGTCCCTCACAACAATTTAAAAACTATTCGAGAGTCATAAATATATTTCTACATACTCACCATTATGTGAATAATATCCTTTACAAATTTTGTAAATGAAACTATGATAGTTTTATTTTCATTTTCAATTTTACTTCAGAACCTGCGGCTCACGAGCTACAGTTTGCTGACCCCTGACCCAGGCAATGCTAATATACAATCAGAGCTGAGACCCACACTCAGATGCCCCGCCCAGAAGACAGGGTGACAGGACCGTGGCAAGGCCACGCATGCCCAGCGCCCCTGGTGGCTGCCCGGTTGCCTGCTGTGGTTAGCGTGCTCCGTGCTCATCGGGAGCCTGTCCTTTCCTAGCCAGGGGGCGAGGTCTGTTTATCCTCCAAGGAGTCTCTCCGTGGTGGCACTGCCTTTTTTAGCCTCACAGAGGGCACCTTAGAAGTCACACAGCTCTGCTTTCTCCCCATGTAGGGGGGAACCTACTACGGGTCAGGTGCTTTCTGGACACAGTCAGACTCAATCCGTCTAGTCCTCATCTGAGGTGTTACTATTCCCTCTTTACAGATAAGGGCATTGAGGGTCAAAGAGGTTAACCTGCCCGAGGTCACATGGCTAACCGTAAGAACCAGGATCCAAATCTGGGTTGTTTGGTTGCGAGGGCCTTGGAGTCAGAAATTCCTTCTGTAACATTTCTGACAGATGGTCATCTGCTTTCTGTCCAAATACATCTGGTGGTGTGGAGATCACTACTTGGCACGACAGCACATTTCATTGTGGGCAGCTCTGTTTCTTCTTACTTTCAGCTGAGACCTACCCCACTAGTGTCTTTTCACCTCTGCTTTGGATCTTTGGAGCAGCATAGCATGTCCTCCTTCTTAATTTGATGGTTCTTTAAATATCTTAACAACAACAACAAGAACAAAATACCATATGTGTCTGGAGCTTTATTCTCAGGCCATCTCTGTCCAGCTCCCTCGTCTAAGGGCTCAGTGACACAGTGACTTTCTAACTGATCTTAAGCAGACAGCCTACATCTGGACATAATACTCCAGATAGGTCTGAGAAGGACAGGGAAGAGACGGGCTCTCCTAGCTCTTACAAATTTACACCCTATATTTCTGTAGCAGGTGAATTACTAACAACATCCATTTATGGAGTGCCTTCGATATGCCAGGTTCTGCCAAGTTCTACCAGGCCCTGGGCTAGATGGTCTACTCACCTATTGGTAATTCTCCAAGTAACCCAGCAGGGAAGGCATTACCACCTCATTTCAGTTAGATTTTGGGGGCTCAGGGAGTGCTGTGAATAATCCAAGCTCACATAGCTAATAAGTGGCAGAGCTGGAATTTAAACCGTTTTTTTGTCTGGTTCCAAAGAGCTAAATGTTTATACCAGGCAGCCTCACCAACACTTTTTATATTCTTCAGCAGCTTTGTCATGGTCATGGCCATGTCATTTTGTCATTGGCCACTATGAAGCTTGAGGTCAATTTGAACCCTTTCATATTTTTATGGGTGGTTGTCAAAATGCATCCTATTTCTGTACGATTGTCCTTTTGATCCCAAAGGCAGCACTTCCCATTTATTGGGGGTTTAGCCTGCTGAGAGGTCCTTATCCTGCTATACCTTTATTTTTTTCCCTTTGGCTGCCTTATCTGTCATTAGCTAACCCACTGATAAATACACTCAGTGAATTAGCGTTCTGTCCTTTGTCTTCCAGGCATCTGCTACTCACCCTTGTGTCAAGTGACAACTGTCACTTGTAAACTGACTGAGCAAGCATCTTACTCCATCATTTAAACACAGGAGACGTAGATACCATAGGCTTCCCAACAGCAGACTACACTGTCACCCATGCAGGTGCCATGGACTGGCCCCAGTGAGCCCGACGGCCTGTCTACATTGCCACACTCCCCCAGCACAGGCACCAGAAGCCCCTCCAGGGCAGGGACTGCTCCTTCCGCTCTCTGTGTGTCCCCCAGTTCTTTGTTCACACTTTGTGGACAGGGTGCCCTCAGTGCTACCTGTGTTCACTGGCCCTTGTCCTCTCTGAAAAATGTCAGACGTGATACACTGAACGAAGCACCTGAACATCACACTGACAATGCTAGGACTTGAAATGGACAGAATGCTTTCTCTCTCAATAGTTTCAGAAATGGGCAAATGTATCTTCCAAAGACTGTTAAAAAAGAAAAGTTGTGAATCCCCTCCCTCCTTTGAATGTGTTTTGATCCACACCAAGGGGCCTCCTGAGGAATTCAGGGAAGTTCCTGCTCTGTGGTGACTGGCTGGGTGTCCTGCAGTCGCACGTGGCACGACAGGCCACTGGGATGGGTGAAAGCAGACTGCTGGGTCTGCGCGGGGCTGTCTCATCCAGCCCGCCGGAGGCTGTCTCTAAGGGCCTTGTGAACGGCGGAGGGCAGGAGAGGGGCTGCGATGCCTGCTACCCCAGCTTGACGGCAGAGCCCCCTGCAGGAGAGTGGCTCTCGCCTCGCCCCATGGCTGGCTGTCTCTTCCTGGGGCAACAGAGTCACGTCACACGCCCTGGAAGAGTGAGGGTGTCCCAGAGCCCAGGGCCAGGAGAGAGTTCTGGATGCAGCTGACACAAGAATGGGAGATGATGTCAGCTACTGTCTGTGGGGCACGCCCTCGGTTGCTCTCACCGTGCCATGCCACCTCATTTATTTTTGTCACTCTAGCTGACAGATATTATCACCTCCATTTTCCAGACAAGAAGACCAAGGCTTAGGGTGACCAGGTGACTTGCTCAGTGCCATAAAGCTACCAAATAGCAGGACCGGCCGAGTGGCACATTGATTAAGAGATGGCTTGGGATGCCAGAGGGCCCCGGTTCGGATCCCACATATGAGGGCCAGTGACACTGCCCTCTACAGCTAAGATGCTGAACAACAGCTCAACTTG